GCCATGCACCCAGCTGCTGCTGAGGGAGCTGCCAGCCGCTTCTGCGGCCTTGCCTTCTTGCGGGAGGTCGCTGGGATGGCTTCACAGGCGCATCCTGTGGTGGTTTGTCAAAACAGGATGAACCTCAGCCCCAATTTCAGGATTATGTTTTTCTTTCCACTTCCATCCCGGCAGTCTGAGGTGTTTTCGCCATCATTGACAAGCGGTTAATTCATCCTGACCAACCGCTTGACCTGGAAAATGAAAACTTCGGCTACTCTTCATAGTCCCCGTGATGTGCGGGTTATAAAATTACCTGTATTTTGGTAGGAATGCACGTCCAAGCGCATGTCAGCCACAGAACGCTCGGACGGCCATGCAACGGGCTGGCAGCCCAGCAGACAGCAGTGCAGGCCAGAGCCACGTGGAGAAGCTTGCAGGAATACGAATAAATTACCCCATGCTGAGCTCCAGTTAAATATATCCTACATATAAACAACACCCACTTGCTGAATAAAAAAAAAAAAAGAATAGCAAGGCTAGGAGGAAAGACATTGTATCATCTTTATTTTACTGCTGGCAAGTTGAGGTAGAAACAGATTAAATGCTTTGCCCACGACACTGCAGGAAGTCTGTGTGGGAGCCAGGACTGGAGATACCTGCACATTAGCCAGTCCTTAGCCACAAGTGCTTCCTTTCTCTAAATGCAGTTTGGATTCATGCTATGCACTGCCAAAACTGCTCCGACCTGGGAAATTCTCAGTTTACACCCATTAAAGGACAAAACTGATCGGACTGACTGTGCAGATGATTCTGGTCAATGAGAACTGAAAGTGCCACTTTCCAGCTGCCCATTCTCTGCTGATGCCAGGCATTTTTGGAAGGGACTAACTCAGCATCCAGTTTTGCACTGAAAAGAAGTAATATCAACAGTCTCGAGCCCTAGCTTGGGACGCAAACCTAAGAGGTGCGTCCGGATTTGGCTAAGAGTGAAAAGAGTATTTTCTTTCCGCGGGCTGCTGGCTAGCGAAAGCGAAGGGGTGGAAAACATCCAACTCGCAAAACTTGAATACAGCTCGTGCTATCTGCAAATGGGTGCCCCTCCCCGCTCATGTGAGCCGCACAGGCAAAAGAGAATGACACATGTGCTGTTTCCTTTTCCAGTTCTAAAGGGGTCAGGAGCCCGGCAAGGAGAGTCTGAACAAGAGCAGCGTTTTCCCGGGCTCTTCCAGCTGTTCTGTTCAATCCCGCCGTCGGTTCAGAGCAGGGAAGAGAGACTGTCAACACAAACAAGGCATTTTCCAAAGGCGTAAATTATGAGTTACCAAAACAATACGACATCTCTACCACGTGAGTACCCTTATCCCCCCCCACCCTTACAGTAAGAGCGGATTTACAAGTCTGTCGCTTAAGCAAAGGTTGTCAATGTGTTTCATGTGCAGTTGCAGCGGGAGGGAGGGAGGAAGAGAGATGGAAAGAAAGGACTGAGACGTATTCTAAAGAAAAAAAAGCTGTGATGAAACTGTTTTCCTCCTTTACTGCCATGTGTGCGCGCGCGTGTGTGGAGACCTGAAACAGACTGTGCAAACTCTGGAACAGAGCAAAGTCAGTAACGTTTCCATCTATATCCTGGCTTAGAAAAAGTTTCATTTAAATGTTTCACCCTCCCCCCTGCTTTCAGGAATGAAAATATAGAGCGTTTCAAAAGCTCCCTGCCTCTTTTCTAAGTTATTAATGGTGCTGCCCAACTTGTGTTTAGAGTTCCGAGCTGTCTGTGTGTAATATGAGATGCAAGCCACAAACTGACAGTCTATATTTAAAGTCACAATGCGTTTCTGCTCCTGGAAATTTAGAAACGTGGGCTTAAGGACAAGCAAATTAGTTTCTGAGCAAAGGAGAATACAGGAGAGCAAGTCTTTTCTTGGCATAACTCTGCAAATTTCAGTAAGTTTGGGAAAAGGGAGAATTTGGTTCAGGTGATCACAAACACTTAGCTGTGCCACAGCAGCTTTCATTTTGGCATCATAAAGTCATAAAAAAAAGAGGGGAGAAGTAGGGAAGGGGATTCTGATTTGGTAAACTGAGAAAAGTCAATGGAAAAAACTCAAGGTTTTCAGTGCTGCAACAGCAGGATGTGGCTCGGTATCTGTTTTATGACTTGAGTATATAATCCTTCCTGTTTTAATTCAAGGACAGTAGTTTTAGTAAGCAAATTGCTACTAGCAGAATTGTTTATCATACCATGGTATCAGTACTGTAGGAAGAAAGTACAGACAGGATTGCTGGGAGCTGCCTGTGGTTCAGGTTTGATCCAGTGATTGCTGTTAGAATATCTGATCTGTATGGATGTTGACACTGACAGTTTTTTCCAAGCTTTGAATGAGGCAGGCTGATCCAGCAGAAACGGTACAGTGCACACGATCTCTGCAAATCTAGCCAGCAATTTCTCTTTTCCCTTTGGACATTTTTGCAAGTTCAGACTAGCCAGAAAGATTGGATACTAGCTTTACTTCTAATTTTGTTTTGTTTTATTCTGCATTTTAACATATTAAAGTTTGTTTTCTATTAGCAGAAAAGAAACATCCAGAGTAGTTCAGGAATCTGATATTTTGGGTTTATATATGTAAATTGGTGCCTTTTGTCCATGAAAAATATGTGTACAGGAGTGACTCATTAGGGTACACTCTGCTCACTGTGCAATATTATCAGGGGCCCAGACCCAGGCTTGCATCCTTTAACAACAGGTTTACCCAGCTGAAGGGTTCAGGCCTGGCGCAGTAGTCCAGAGTGTATTTTGCTTTTCAGATAGTCTCAGGTTGCCAGATAACCCTAAAGAAAGCCCTAAGGTGTATCTAGGTGAAGCATTACTTCTCGTGGGAGAATATCACTGTAGTTTTTGTCTTTGCAAAATGCAAAACACCTGATGTGTCAGGTTTTCTTATAATTTCAAACTCTGGACAGGAGTTTTGAACTTGAATCATTCCAAGATGTTATGATTGCCAGTAAAAATAAGTGTTTTGCAATCTAGCTAATATTCTGATTGAAATGAAGTCACTGTCTGTTCTCTGCTTCTCCTCATAATTTCTCATATTGTTTTGGACAGGATGTTCCTGTATCTTGTTTCAGTCTGTATCTCTTTGATTTTTAAATCACACAGATGAAATTTACAGATCAAGAACAACATTAAATTAGAGCCAAATTTGATAGTACTATATGCCTACCTAATGCAAGTTTGATGCATTGCTTTTGGTTAAGGTTTGTAATGGTTAGGGGTTTGGCAGGTAAGGTTTTGTTGTAAAATTCCAGCAATTTTGGTGAATTAGAAGATATTGAAAGATCAATGCATTGACAGACAGTGTACAATGTGCACAATGTTTGGCAAAGAGAGAGAGTATTTGCGAAGACAGATTTGTTCATAACCATAGTGCAAATCTTTGAAATGGGTGTGAAAATGCACAAAGTGTCAGCAAAGCCTCTCTGTGTTGAACAAATTAATTCTTTGCTGGGTACCTGCAGGTGAGACCACAGCCCAGCTGCCTACTGATATAAACAAAGCAGTGTCAAGTTACCTAATTGTATGTGTTCTTTGCTTATCTTCTTGTATTCATTCACAGATGATAAGGGATTTTATTCATTCTATAAATACAGTATGATCCTGACAAGCCAGGTGAGAGCAGAAAGACTGATGTTTCAGATCTGAAGCATCCACATCTGTGAACCCTACAGATATATTCTGCCTCCTGGGGGGAGCCACATCGCCCAACCTTGGGCCGTTTCCATGCCCAGCTCAGATTCCCCATCTCAGTCAATGGGCTCCCAATACACTCAACATAGAGGCAGGCTAGTGAGCAATTCAGCCTGCCTATGTTGGACCATGGGTGGATATTTATTCTATAACTTGTTGTTACTGGATATCTGTATGTGGCTGGAATAAAATGGAATACCTAAGTAAGAAGTCTGCTCCTAAAGCAAGAGCTGGACAATGGGCTTCAGTTTTATTGGCTGAGATTCAGTACAATATCATGTTGTGAATAACTCTCCACTCTCAGTTTGTATTAGGATGATGATGATACAAAAGGGACCTAACCACACTGCAGGAACAGGAACTCCCTGGAGTGCTACTTCTAAACGCATCTCCTGCTGGTGTTATTCCACCCCTACTTGCCAGGATGTACAGGCAGTAGCTGCCTATATTATTAAAAAAATCTGAGGAATTCCACAAATCTGGCAGGCTGTATTTAGACTGCAGTTTTTGCCCTCCTACTTTTCTACTGTGGTGGTCTTAGTTTCTAAGTCATTGCAGAATCCAGTTCCAATTAATGCGACAGTTCAAGTGAGGTGAATAACGCACCCAAATAAATATCACTGGAGTAAGCATTCAGTCTGGGGATGCACTGAGCTATGCAAAGCCAACTCTGGGGGTCAAAAGTGTTCATCACTTTGGAGAATATGCTGTATTATAACCCTATAGGATTTAATCTTTATGACACATGCTGGGATCATTTTATTCGAGGACTCCTATGCTTCATGTGCCTCAAAGGCTGTGCTGTCAAAGGAATTGGGGGTGTGAAGAGAGCAGTTTCTATAGACTGCTATTCCCCATCACCTACTGGCAGATACAGCCTGCCCGCTGGGGTGGCAGGGAAGCAGTGAAGTCTTGTGCTGCAGAGAGAAGGTGGACCAACAAGAAGACAGGAGGCCATAATGAATCTCAATCCATGTCTCGACTGAAAAGAGAGGAGGAGGCACAGGAATACAGCAGAGCAAATTAAGCCTTGTGACCTGCACGGGTTCCCTCTGCATTGCCAGCTGTAGCTCAGCAGCAGCCCAGGAGCAAAGACCTTCACTGTCGGGTAGAGAGCAGAGCTCCTGAGCTGCCTGTGCCAGGGGCAGCAGGTCCTGATGCCACCGCTGCCCCGCTTCCCCAGCCTGTAGGAGCAACAGCGAGGATTTCTGCTGGAAAGAGCCAAGTAGCTTCCAAAAATGTTGAGAGTTTGGCAAAGGTGGCCCTCCATAAGGTCATATAGTAGGTCTTATAGTTGAATGGCAGGAGCCTGGTTCTGAGAGCAGACTTATTCCTATCTTTAATTCATAATGAGATTCACTGCATGTCCTTTGCATGTTCCTGGAGCAATCACTCCAAGACTCCACAACTATCACTCACTCAGAGCCTGTGAAAAGCCACAAATGATCTCCATAGAATTTTAACCTCATTATTCTCTCCCTTGGGAAGAAATTTGATTTTACTGCCTTTAATCAATAGAAATGCTCGTCCATGACAGTAACTAATAAACAGAAATGGAAGCCACTAATTATGGTAATGTTGGTCTTCACTGTTAAATATGCGAACATTTATAAGTGAGAAATTCTGTGTATTTTAATAACCTCTCATTTTTAGCACAGAAAGCACTAAGTATGTCTCACAAGCAGTTATGTAAATTGAATACCTCTGCTTATGTGTATTTCTCTCATCACTGTGCAAATGAATTGGAAAATTCTGCTTTTTACCCCAGGGGCTTCTCCCAGACACCCTCATTGCTTGAGATGTGGATGCGAAAGTTTGCAAATTGAAAGGCTACGAAGGCACCTCAAATTTCAGTAATTACCAACAGATATTTTGGCAACCTGCTAAACTGAGGAGGGGTGAGGGCAGAGTTTTTCTCCAAATAGGAGCCTGCTCTTTTTAAAATACACAGTTCTCAGCGCTTCCAGGGACTACTCCTCACAAAGAAAAGGCAAACAATTTACACAGTAGATGTTAAAGATTCAGGTTAGGGCTGCTTACATGCTTAAGCCTATGAATATTACTGGATTGTTCGATGCCTGCGTCTCCTTGCTGATGCTGCTGCACCTTTCTTTCTAGGCTCTTGTGGAATATACGGTGCATCCATCACTGTTCAAATGACTGAGTCCAATCAGCAAAGCCTTTTGAAAAACAGGCTTTTGGGACTGCATTCTCTAATGAAAGTCTGTTTGTGTGTCTGCTCTGTGGAGTGCCTGACTCTATTGTTAGTGAGGGATTAGTATTCCTAGAGCATAGAGAAATTCAAGCCAACGTAGGGATCTGATTGTGCTCGGTGCTGTACAGATACCCTTTCTTCAAAAGGCTAATAGACTACATAGAGGGGATAGATTACAGGTAGGAGAGAAATTACTAATTTCCAGGCCATCTCCAGGATGGAGAGGCAACTTTTGTCTCTGGGAAGTTGCTTATAGCAGCCAGGAAGCAGGAATTAGTATCAATTCCAGTAGATCCACTGAGGCAACAGCTTTTTGCCTCCCACTCTTTAGCTTTTTAATGTATGATAGGTGAAAATGTGGCTCAGAAGTCATTTAGCAACTGTCTTATT